AAAACACCCAGCGGTCGGAAGATCTGGGGGAGCTATGAAGGCAGACGTGGCAAGAAGGAGGTACGCCGCCACAGCGTAGTTTCATCTAAACTTCTCGACGACGTGGCCGATGACCATGATGATTCCGCCTTTGACTCCGAGAAAGCCATTGTCCAGAAGCGTGGATTCCATTGCAAGTTCTGCACTACCCGCCATTCGCGCCAATGGCGCCGTGCGCCCTTGGTTCCGCCCGGCACCGTTGTTCCGTCTGAGCCCTCAAACAAGAAAGACAAGGGCCCTATGCTCACCGTTGCACTCTGTCTTCGCTGCGCTCTGTTATGGCGAAAGTACGGGATTCAATATGAGGATGTTGACGAGGTTGCAAAGAGGATTGCAAGCAGTGGTAACAAGTCATGGCGACGCCGCATCGACGAGGAAATGCTCGCGCAACTGATTGTAGCTACCGAAACCCCGTTCATGATCACCCCTGCTACGGCAACTACGGCTACCACGATGGGAATTCCGCTTGATACAAACCCTCGACTCTTGTTGGAAGGAAAGGCGGAGGCCAAGGTGGAAGGTAAGGTGGATCCGACGAAAAAGAAGGCCAAGGAAACCCCCGCACCTTCAGCCACGACATCTGTCGAGCCTATGCCGAAGAAAAAGACAGTCCCCGAGAAAGTGGTGGAAGCTCCTCCGATTGTTCCCGACCCGCCAAAGGCCAAGACTCTCCCGTGTTCAATCTGCAACCAAGTCGAACCTTCGGGTGAAGAGCATCTTTCATGTCGGGATTGCCGCCTTACAGTCCATCGCAATTGCTACGGTGTGCGGGATTCGCGCCCTAGTAACAAATGGTTGTGTGATATGTGCTCCAATGACCGAACTCCCTCGATTTCTACAAACTACACATGCGTTCTTTGCCCAGTCTCATGGACCGAGCACGACCTCATGGAGACGCCCAAGAACAACTCCCGGAAAAAGACCGAGCGTGACAAGGAAAAGGAGCGCATGGAGAAGGAGATGGTTGCTGAGGCGATCAAGCTTTATCGCCAGCGGCAGGAGGCCGTCGGCAAGCCTGTGGGTCCTCGGGAACCACTGAAGCGTACTGCAGGCAACAACTGGGCCCACGTGCTTTGCACCTTGTGGACCCCGGAGTTGAAGTACGGCGATGCAGAGGAGCTTGAACCTGCGGAAGGATTCGGATCTATTCCCAAGGAGCGGTGGCGCGAGACGTGCAAGGTCTGCAAATCAAGTAAGGGCGCATGTGTGTCATGCAGCTTTGCTGGCTGCAATGCTCACTTCCACGTTGGCTGTGCTTTCCAAGCACACTACCGGTTCGGCTTTGATATCACACCCGTTAAGAGCTCGCGTCGCGACAGCATGCGAGCTATCCGTCTGGGCGAAGATATTGGAGCAGCGACACCTGCTGTTTACTGTCCTAATCACAACGTGCCGACTGTTCTGCACGCAATTGGCGAGCAGACAAACCAGGACCATCTGAACGCCCTCCAGTTGTTCGCCCAGACCTACAAACAGGCCGATCTTACCCTTACTGGAACCGTTCGCAAAGCGGCGTACATGCATCAATCTGTTGGAGCTCCCCCGCATCCTTCCACCAATGCGAACCGTCGGGCTTCGACGACTGCTATGCCTGCTTCCAAGGAAACCCACAAAGTTCAACCCGCTCTGGAGCAAGTGACTGAAGATCCCATGGACATCGATACCGACAACCATGTTGCACCGCGACCGGCTGCTCCTGGTGTGGAGACTAATCACAAATGCGTCCGATGTGCCACCGGCTTTAGTCCCAGGTGGTGGGCCATTGGGCGACGACCTCCCATGGCTAATGGCTCAGGACACCCTCATCATTCGCCTCAAGGTGCCTTCCCCCATTCCGAATTGGCGTACGAATGCCATAAATGTCACTTGAAGAACCCGGCGCCTCCTCCACCTCCGCCTGTACCAGAGCCTATGCCCGACCAACGGCCTTCGCCTTACTCTGCTCAACGTCCTATGATACCCACTTCACGAATGCCCGCTCATGCAGGTCATGCAAGCCATGCAGGACATACATTTTTGCCCCACCCACATCCCCACCAACACCCGCATCCCCCTCCTCCCCCTGGCAGTGTGCTTGGGCGGCCGATGCCTCCCGCTCACCCACCCAATGGACTTCCCGGACCTGGATACACTGGACCATACGAGCAACGCCACACGCCCGACATCGGTCTTCGCAACGGCATATCGCCGTCTCCTTATCCCCCAGCACAGCCACCTCCGCACCACATGAGTAACTATCCGCCACCGCACCCCGCAGGCCCACCACCTCAACACTATACCAGCGCTGGGCCTTCGGGACCACCGCCGCCGTATCCCACCCATCAGAGCCCGTATGGCCCTGTGCAAGCCCGCTCGCCACATCTTTCGCAGCCACCGCCGCGATCATACGCAGCGTCCGCGTCCCCTCCAATCGTGCAAGCGACAACGATCAACCGATCACCTCAGACCTCGCTGAGCGCTCTCAATGGCGGTCCGCCGCCTCGCATGTACTCTGTCGAGCGTGTGGTAGCAGCTCCCTCTCACTCACCACCAGTGACGCAGGCACGTATTGGCCCGCGGGGGCCCACTGCCACCCCTCCTACTCGACCGGAAGACACACCACCTTCTCTGATGGGCGGGCCACCGAGCAGTCGACACTCTGGGGTCAATGGTACAGCAGCTGGGACCGGAGCGAGCGCAAGTCCATCGCTGAAGAACCTTCTCTCATAACGATATCCTACACGAGTGCTCATAATCGAGTTGTATGATAGTGACCTATATCCTTTCCTATTTGCTTTTACTGCTACTGCATATGCATGCCACGGCATCCCATGAACAAAAGTGTGTCTAGGGCTGGGCTTCGTTTTCACTTTGTTTTTCCCCTTTTCCCTTTTTTTCTCTCTTTCCCTTCCAGCCACGGAGATCCCGGGTTTTTTCTCGGTTGATCCTGTCGGTCACCATCTTTTGTGCTGCATGGTTTCTTCTTTTCTTATGTGTTTGTTTTTTGTTCCCCGGCGTCTTGAATTACGGCACCCTTGGAAAAGTCCGTGGAGTCTGTTATGGAGTGGTTGGAGGGCTTGATATCGTCGAAAATCATGGATTGCATGGAGTAGGACTGGGCCACTTTATGATTGATATTACCATTACCCATTATTTCCAGCTAGATGAATTGATTAGCATTGCTACGATCTAAATTTCAGATTCTTCAACACTACATTATCCACTCGGTTATTCGGCACCTGGGCATGGATCATAAAACCCTCTCAACGGTACGGTGGATCTCGGAAGCTGGCGATGCTGACAAATGCCGATCAAAACGGATGAGGTCAGGTCGTCACAGCCGGATCACTGTTAGCTGCTGGGGATATAAGAGATATCTTCTCCCAATATTTGCATAGAGAATACCAATTGGACACTGAACACTGTACATATCACTCAATATGGGCGACACCATGCGAGCTATCGGTAAGTTAACGCGGGGTTGAAGAATATCCCCCCACTTGATATCAGCCACATTGAGGATCATACATGAACCATATCAACCCATCTGCCCTTCAATTCACTGCACTCACTCCCTTTGCTCTATACTCACACCTCAACACACTCTATACAATGTGAGCCCTAAACTAACAACCCCCAGGCATCAAAGGCGGCAAAGGCCCCGCAACAAACCTCTTCATCGACCAGATCGCCAAGCCCACCGCCGCAGAAGGCGAAGCGATCATCAAGATCCGAGCCTTCGGACTAAACCGCATGGATCTGCTCCAGCGCGAGGGCCTATACCCCCTCCCACCCCAAGCACCACCAACCATGGGCGTAGAGTTCTCCGGCGTGATCGAGAGCTTCGGATCAGACGGACACGAAGACTTCAAGGTCGGAGATGAAGTATTTGGCCTTGCATACGGCGGCGCGTACGCAGAGTACATCGCTGTCTCGAGTCATATGCTAGTGCACAAGCCTAAACAGCTATCCTGGGAAGAGGCAGCCGGAGTCCCAGAGGTGCGCACATTATCTTCTTTCCCAGAACCTCACCGATCTTCACTAACCAAACCCCCCACAGACCTGGATCACAGCCTCTCAAGCCCTGTTCCTAATCGGCGAATTCCAATCGGGTCAAAGCGTCCTCTGGCACGCGGGCGCCTCCTCGGTCTCAATCTCGGGAATCCAACTAGCAAAAGACGCAGGCGCGAAAGCCATCTACGCAACTGCCGGCTCGCAAGAGAAAATCGACTTCCTGGAAAAAGAACTCGGCGTAACAAAAGCCTTCAACTACAAAACCCAGGACTGGGCGACTGAGATCCAAACCGCGACATCTGGCGCCGGCGTCGATCTAACTGTCGACTTCATTGGCGCGACGTATTTCCAGGGAAATCTCGACGTAGCGGCACGCGACAGTCGCATCGTGCTGCTGGGTCTTATGGGTGGCGGCAAGTTACCCGAGGGGGTTAATATTGCGCCGTTACTGTTCAAGCGTGTGCGAATTGAGGGGAGTACGCTGCGCAGTCGGGATCTGGAGTACCAGCGGAAATTGAGGGATACGCTCGTTGAGCATGCGTTGCCTCGGTTCTGTGATGGGACGTTCAAGGTTTTTGTTGAGAAGGTTTTTACTTTTGAGGGGATTGAGGAGGCGCATAGGTTGCTTGAGAGTAACACTACTAAGGGGAAGATTATTGTTAGTTTGGAGTAGATTCAGTAGCATGGAATAGTTAAATAGTTAATACAGATCATGATATGAGGATATTCATGTATAACTTTGTATGTATTATATGCACATAATCTGATAGGTTGTAGTCAAGAGATCGACAATGTAGAGAACTCCACTCTTGCCATTTGCAGAATACAGAATAGGGCCTAAGTATTGCAACCTAACTACATGTGTATATATACACCGGAATTTCAGGCCGGGATGGCTTCCCTTTCCGTTTTAGTGCTCACCCCTTGCCGCTGTTTCAGTAAAACCGAGCATGCTCCTGACTTGTATCCTAACAGAATTTGATCATGACTTTCGTCTCCAGGTGGTCAGAGAATCGTTGGTATGCCTTCGGTGCCTCTTCGATATCGATGGTGCTAGAGAAGACGAAGCCCGGATTAGCCACGCCATTTTTCACAAGTTCCAGCAGTGGCTCAACAAATAATTTGCTGTCCACCACACCACCACGAATGGTCAAGTTCTTTTCCCAGAAGAGAGTAATAGGAAACATCATATACGGTGAGATGGTATCTCCCCGTTGAACTCCCTCGGAATTCGGTGCAGCAAAGTGTACCCCAATAACCCCTAACCCACCATTCACGCTAGTGCACTTCGCCGCCTGTGTGATAACGAAGGACTGATCGGGCTTCAATTCTTCGTTGACGCATTCCTCCCCAACACAATCTACAGTGCGTCGAACGCCACCTGGTTCCCGGGCCAGAATCTGCGCCGACGGTTCGCCCTTTGTGAAGTTGATCGGGATGGCTCCAATGGAAGCAGCGAGTTCGAGTCGGTCTTCGACACAGTCAATGGAATACACGCGAGAGGCACCACGGATAATTGCCGAATACGCAGCAAGAAGTCCCACTGGACCTGCGCCAAAAATCGCGACCTTATCTCCGGCCTCGAAGCCAGACCAACTGACCCCCGTCCAGGCAGTAGGGAAGATATCAGAAAGAACAACTAGATCCTCATCCTTGATCTCATCGAATTCCTTATCGAGGATGATCAAGGATTTATCCGCAAGTGGAACGCGGACAAATTCGGCTGTTGAGAAATGGCGCGGGCCAGTTAGACACAGGTCCTCTTCCCTTGCAATGCAATAAATAAAAGGGGGTTCTGCGGGGCTCAGCCGTACCTTGACAGCCTCCCAAATTGCCAAATTCGGATCCTTCTCCGTACAATGGAACTATAGGGGTAATTGTTGGTTCTAGATCCAGCCCCACGCCATTAGGAATGTCAGGGATAATGACCCGATCCCCAACCTTCACGGAATCAACATCTGCTCCGATTTCCTCGACGATACCCATGGCCTCATGTCCCATAGGATAAGGGACCTTGGTGCTGCCAAAGACGCCGTGATAGTTATGCAGGTCGGAGCCGCAGATAGCTGCTGTAGTGACCCGAACCACCGCATCCGTTCGCTTGACGACTTCTGCTTTGGGGATATCGCGGACGTGAATCTTGAACGGATGGCCATCGAAAATGACGGACCGCATAGTTCCGCTATTGCTATGCATCTCTGCCATTATGCAGAAAAATATATAATGGTATTGGAGCGTTGGAAATGGGATTATTCCTTGAGTGATTCTTGTAAAACACGGAGAATTTTGTGTGGTTGACTTGGCTAGGAGTCATACCTCAGAAGTCACTGGTCCTTATATAGCAATTTAGTATAAACCCGTTTATGGGTATTCCATGTATACATAGGACCTGACGTCACATTTCAAGTATTCGACACCTCATAACACGTCAGGTTCAACATATACACTACAAAGGTCTCATTTTCAGTTGGCCTAGGCTAAGTCTGACGTAAGAAAAGAAAGCCCAAGTTGGATCCTACGGGATACCACATTGGGAATCATGATTCTTGCCTGTTGCAGGGCAGGAACCGTAGCTGGGAATCGATAGGAAGTCATTGCGATGTGAAAGGTCAGTTCCGTTATATATGTAATTTATATTCGCGAATCAAGACATCTACACATGTTGCCCCAGTCATATAAGTAGTGGCCTACATATGATTGTTAATCAGAACTGGCACCACACATGTCAACCACACGTGGGGTTTCGCCCTAAAGACACGGAAGTGAATATCGATATCGGCATCACTGACACTCTGCCCGTCTTCACGGTTCCTATTATATGCTAGCTAGATGGAATGTTGTTTTTCTTGGGCTGAAGAATGTCGCTATCGGACTGGGATGCCAGTGCCATAATTGTGGAGACCTTATCCTTAGCGGAAGAAGAGTGCTTGGTTTGGTCTTGTAAATGACGGTAGATCTTAATATATTTTGGGCGGTCAAATAGACACTCTAGAAATTTAAGATTAAACGAACGTGATTCATCTATGTCGGACGACTACAATCGCACCTAATTGGCAGCCATAGCGTGCCCATAGACCGTCTATTTCCCATTGATTCATTGCGGCCTCTATGACTGGCCATTAGTTTTAGGTTTGCGCTTCACCTCAAGTGGGAATAACTATGCCCGAATGCATGGTAAGTAATCTGTGTAAAATCCCGACCACCGTGAGCGCCCTCATAAAGCACCCGAGAATATATCGTAAGTATCTGGTATATACACACATACCATGTATGTATGTAGACCTTGTAGGGGTTGAAAGTTGGAAAGTACCCGCCTCATGCAGCTATCCCTGTCTCGTGTGATTGGCCAGGGTCTGAATCACATGGAGCCGATCAGCAACTGAACCGTAGGTGATAGGGAAATTAGGGTAAGATCACCACCTCTATCAGTCATATCAGTCATATCAGACATTATTATACTTATATCTTATGCCATTTTGATTTCTATAATTTCTACATATATTTAATAAACTTGATGTAGATGAATCAAGAACTATTGTGTCAGGTTAGAGACACTGAATGCATACAATTGTAGCTGCAGGTGATCCATTTCTGGAAGTGGAGACGGGAGAGTGGACTAATCAGCAGTCAATGAGATCACCTCGGATTATTTGGTATTCCGTCAGATTTGGCCCCAAATGGGCCCAAACGCCCTATCCACTCTTGATTTTTGCTTTTTTCTCTTTTTTCTCTTTTTCTTTTTTTTTTTTTTTTTTTTTTTCGATTCTGCAGAGTGTGACGGTGGATATATATACCTCGTAGGTTTACAATATAGTCCTTATAATATACTTAAATATCTTGATAGTAATATTATAACTATCTTTACGTTAGTATATATCACTACAACTATAGATATGTCCGGGGTAAAACTAAACAAAATACCAGAGCTTCCTATGTTATCTAGACTGCATAGCCACCCCAGCACTACCCAGGTGTATTGTGTTACAGAATCTGCGCTTACTAACCCGCTAACCTTCTAGAAAGAAAAAAAAAGAGAGAGAGAGGCGTCATTGGGTCCACTGGTTACGATCGGAGGCTCTGCCGGAGAAGAGATACCATAGAGAAATATAAAGAGAGATAGTATATAGATGATGATTTACCTATATAATCTTGTAATAGCATAGATAGACGAAGACCAAGTAGGAAATACCCTGTTAACCAAAAAGCAATACCTTACTAGTAACTTGTAACTGTGACTGTAACTAAGATTACCTGAGGATCATCCCGTCCCGCCCCAAGGCCTTCTGGAAGGAGGAAAGAAGCCCCTTCCCCGTGTTCGCCCCTCCACTGTCCTCAGCTTTGGGCTGTTTTTGCTCTTTTCCAACTTCTTGATTTCCCTTTTTCTCTTCCTCTTTACTTCCTCTTTTCTTTGTTGATTTCTCACCGCTTACACGCTACACGCTACACACACACAATGTCGAACTGACGTCCTTTCCCGCTCCCTTTCTCTTCTTTCATCTCCAATTGAACCCCCTTCGTCCTCGACAACTCACGTGTCGCTTTCATCCCATCACTCTTCCGATCCCGGGGTGGAAAAAGTGGGTTGCGCGCTCGATCTGTCTAGTGCGACAAGTTTAGAAGTCTAGGCTCTGGGGGGTTGTCTCGGAACCTCCAGTCCACAACGCGACTCGGACTGCCTCGCTGCAGGAAACAACTGCATTGTTCGATTCGGTGAACTGAGAGATTGCTTCCCGACTGCCATTCCTTCTCCCGACTTTCTTTGTGCCGATTTACTCGGACCTCCTCCGATCTTCCATTTCACCCTCAACCTCGCCGCTCGTTTTTTTCCCTTCTCACCTTCCCAAAAACCGCCCTCGTCACTCGTACCTTCCATCACACCCCCAGCCGAACGCCTCGGTCTTCGTCATCTGAGCCATATGCGAATCAGGACCGCTCCGACCAACCCATTCCCTTTTCTTCACTCCGATTGAGTTCTTGTCGGTCTTGTGATTCCAGCGACACAGCCTAATCGGCAGTCGTTCTATACCTTCTAACATCATGTTTGACCGCGTGGATTGCGCGGGTCTCTACATTGATGACCGAGTGCGGTCGGAAAGATGGGTGCGCAAAAATTCCATCGATGCTTCAACGATATCGTCCACAGGTTCCTTTGCAACCTCTGAAGAACCAGAGGCCCTGCAGGCGGATGTGGAGCAGTTGCTGTTAGTGTGCAAACAAGGTAGGTTCTGCAGACTGCGTTGTGTTTGATGATTTACTAATTACCCCCGTTCTTGCAGTCTATCTCTGCCACAACGGTTCCTCCTTTGCCACCAAGCTGGCCGAGCTCAGCGACCGGTCGGGCAGCGAGTGTAACCCGATTTTCGCATTCTTCGAGGTGGATTTTAGCGGCGAAGAGTCAAATTTGGCTCGTCGAAAAGCCAGTCGCGCCTCGTGGGCAGACAACGCTCCCCCGTCACCGGGCTCCATCCACCGTACTTTCACATTTTCAACGCAGTCTGACGAAGCACGGGGCCTGTCCCTTCTATCAGGTGTTTCGAACGATATCCAAGCCCAAGAGGGGCCAAATCTGGTCATTCCCATTGCGATTTTGCGTCTTCCTCCCGATGCGCCCAGCGACAATGCGGCTACCGGCCCTACCAGTCAACCAGTTTCTCAAGGACCTATCACGGCGGAGCACAAGCAGATTGCCCGCTGTCTTGATGCCGGTGCTATGGATGTCTTGACCACTCCGCTAGATCGGTCGCGGATTCAAGGGCTCGTGGTTCATGCCTACCGCACCCGTAAAGCGGCCCAAAGAGAGATGTCCCGATTTCTTGCACGGAGAAAGCAACGAAAGCTTTCTTGGGTTGGTGTGCATGATGAACAACCATATTCTTATTTGAGAGAAGCCATGGTCTCAAAGTTGATGAAAGGAATTTGCAACCCAGAAGAAGTCATACATGATGAATTCCAGGAACAGGATCTCAACATTGATCCCGCACGTATCCCTTTTATCAAAGAGCAGGTAGGCAGTTGGAGGTTCTGCGCTCATGAGTTTACCGAGGACGAACTGGTATTTGGTGCTTGTGAGATGATACAGCATGCTTTCACCATGCCGGGACTGGACAATTTACGGTTGACCCCCGATGAATTGCAAACTTTCCTCCTCGCCTGCCGTGCCGCCTATAACTCCTTCGTGCTCTATCACAACTTCCGCCATGCGATTGATGTGCTGCAATCGGTCTTTTGCTTCCTGCTAAACATTGGGGCTTTGCCTCCATATGAATCAGTTGGGGACTCTCCCGTCCCCGACACTCCCATCACCTCCCTTCTCACGCCATTCGATGCCCTTACTCTCCTTATCTCAGCCATTGGTCATGACGTTGGTCACCCGGGTGTCAATAATTTTTTCCTCGTCAAATTGAACGCACCTCTGGCTCAACTCTACAATGACAATTCCGTCTTGGAGGCGTTCCACTGCGCCGCCTTTTCCCAAATTCTGCGTCGGCACTGGCCTGCCGCATTCAAGGACAATCAGCTGCGAAAGCTCCTTATCAGCTCTATCCTGGCCACAGATATGGGCGTACACCAGAAGTTCATGCAGCGTATGGGCTCATTCCAAGAAAAATTCTATGAAAACAACAGATCTGTTGATGGCTGGAAGCCGCAAGATGTCGACATGTACAAGACTCTCGTTTGTGGATTATTGATCAAATGTGCCGACATCAGTAATGTGGCTCGACCGTGGAAAGTTGCCAAGAAGTGGACGCAAATTCTGCAAGAGGAGTTCGCCAACCAGGGCGAGATGGAAAGGGAGGTCGGAATGGAAACTGCACTGTTTGGCGGGCCACCCGAATTAGGGAATATCTACAAATTGGCTACTGGTCAAATTGGATTCATGTCAATATTCGCCCTGCCGCTCTTCGAAGGCATTTCCGACCTTCTGCCGCAGTTGCAGTTCACTACCGACCATATCCTTCGCAATCAGGCACAGTGGCAAGAACTTTCTAATGAGGAGCTGAAGAAGCAAGGTCTTCCGATTGAGAAAAGGGCCGAGATTACTGTTTCGCCTCGCTCCCATAGCCCTGAATTTCCTGACAAGCTGCACGTTGATTCAGGAGATGGCGCAGCGGACGAAGTCGGATCTCCCACGAGTTCAAGCTCTGGTGGATACAACGAAAACAACATTGAACCGGTTGTGTCGCCTGATACCACAGGTCCCCAGATTGAGATCACGGGAAGTCCCCTGGTGCCGACGACTGCATCTCGGAAGTCTTCTAGTGCCATGCCGGGCCTTTCTGGTTTCTCCATCCCAGGAGCTCCGGAGTCTGCCCGCGGGTCTATTTCGACACAGCTACACAGCCCTGCCACGCAAACAAGTCCTGTTACCGATGATCCGGCTGTTCTAGCTGCCGTCTTGTATGCCAACTCGGCCTTCGGTGGCGGTACTTCATCAGGACCAGTGGGGCGTGACCATGGGTCTGGGTCTACCGAGAGACCAAGCAGCTCCCGCCAAGGTCTTCCACATGGTTCTCAACGCGGCTCCCAACGTCACCATGCACACAACAGCTCGTCTGCTCGCACGGGCTCAAATCGCAATAGTTGCACACGGACACAAAGCACCTACAGCAACACCATGACACCAATCTCTCCCGCAACTAATGCCTCAAGCTTTTTGGCTGTGGATAGCGGCGACGAAAAGCGTGTCTCCGGGGAAAGTGTCACGCAAAGTGACCTTGGAGGACCTGACGATAACAGCACACGTCCCAGCACAGCGGACGCGTATCCTTCAAATGTATCAGAGCCCGCAGGCGGTTACAGCCCCGGTCGTAATTCTAACATCGCTCGTGGCCAAACTCGGTCCGAAGACGGTGCCAGCAAAGACTTTTCCAGATTGGGAGCTCACGGAACCCGCAGCACGACCCAGTCGACGACTACTGGCGAGAGCACCAAAAATGAGACCCCGCAAGTGGATGACTCTAATGGTACCCGTAGACTTCCTAAACGGAGGAGTCGGCTTCGACTTGCGTTTTGGAAGCGCCGCAACCATTCGCACGAGGTCCGCGGTGAGACCTGATTGTTTCCATCCTGGTTGATGCTTTTGCGTTTTTGAAGCATCTCCAGCTGTGTATAATGCTGCCATGGTCTTACGAACATTTCATTTTGCAATGAGGCTTGAGACCACACTGGTGTTCGATGAATTCACGACTCGACCAGTCGAAGAACCCTGACTCTGGACTTTCTTTTCCCCACCGCATTGGCTCTCCTGGTCACGACTCTACGAAGTCGATAACGATACCTTCTTACCTTCTGCTGAAATGTCTGAGTTTGTCTCGGGCACGAAAGCAAATGCAAAGCTTGTCTGAGCATTTATATTGTCAAGACAAGATGAGTTGCATGTTTTACTCTATCCTCTCTCCTTTTGAGATTGAGAGTCCCGCTTTATCATGTATTCCTCTCAATGGATACTGGCATCGGTGTTCCCGCTACATCTGTCATCTGATTATTTGCACCGGGCTCGCCCACCTACTTCTGTGTGATGACCACGAATATTTGTCTTCTTTTATCCTTACCCCACGCCTTCCTTCATCTCCTTTTTTTCGTCTTTCTGCTCCGCCCTTGTCACATGTTTTTGGGGCGGGTGTCCTCTTGCCCTAGAGTTCGGTAATAGGCCGGCGTTCTATCTCTTACAGGAGTGGGCTTTTCCCCTTTCTCCCCTGTACCTGATCCTCTTGTGTCTTGTGTCTAGTTCTCTCTCTCTCTCTCTTTTTTACATGGACTCTTGTTAGACTCTTCCGCTCTGCGCGATAATGAATGTGATGTGTACAGTGAGACTTTCGATTCTTGTTCTCAGGTTTGTAATTGTAACAGGTGTGTATTCAAGGATGTCTCTAGTGGTATGTAATCCCAGCATTTACCAGCACGACCTAAAAATTGGATTTTATACATAAAGCAACTGAAGGTAGATGTAGATACTAAGTAGGAAGATGACCCAATACATCCTCCTACTGACAATCCTCACAGGCCGCCTTATCCTTACTCTCCTCCTTCTCCTCTTTCTTTACCTCCTTCTGCTCACCGTGTTCCTTCTTCAACGCCCGATCCGTATGTCCTAGATCCCTATTAGGAGCAATAACATTCCGCACGAGAGACTTGAGCGCCTTGACTTCTGAATGGAGAAAGAAATGGTTAGACCAAGCATCGAGTGGCATAACTAGACAAGTCTCCATGCAGTATATATTGAATGCATAGAAACCCAACCCCAATAAATAAACCAGAAAATCAAAACAAAGGAAAGGAAACATGAAAACGTACCAGGGAATCCCCCATCTCTCTTCCGATCCCAGAGAATACTCTCCTGCGTCGTGATCACCCCATCAATCATCGTACCATGCCATATTGTCACCCTGAAGACTCCGCCGGTTTTCGGGACGAGGGCTACTTCACCAAGGTCTGTGCCAAATGTTGAGAGGAGTTCCTGGGCAAACTGTTGTTTTTGTTAGCATTTGCATTCAAATGTTATATCGGTGAGATCTGTATATTATGTTCATTCATGATCATGTTGACAGTGACAATATATGAAGTATCAAGAAAACCAATATAAAACAACCCCGCTTAGAAAGGATTCAACCAAAAAAACTTTGAACATGATAGGTCAGAAAAGACAGAAGAATAACCACGTACGTATGCGGCGCGTAGCATCCACCGACACTGTGTGCAGAACTGGATTGAGATGCGGGGGAGATGGACGTTTACTGGTGCGATTTTGTCGCCATTATCGTTGTTTGAGTCTAATGGTTTCGATGTCGATGTAGATTCAGCCATGATGGATGGTGGTTTGATGCCGATGCGACTGCAATGAGGGAGTTGTGTGTAGTGGGTGGAGTGTTTCGGATGAGGGGGGTGTAGTATGCAGGCGGATGGATTGGGGGGGCCGTCTTTCTGGTTAGATAGGAGGTACGTTGTAAGTTGTATGTTCAGATGTCCAGAGCTTAGTGGGATCCATCGATGGGAATTTGGATGATGTCAGCGGGGATGGACTGTATATCAAGGACTTTCTTCACAATTTTTATATTACAGATTGGAATAAGAAATCTGCTATATTTATTCATATGCAAAAGTCTACTTCAGCAAGATCTACCCAATTGCCAATTTAGGCCATGCGAGCCGAAACAACGGCTGAACCGGACTCTCGGGTCATCCCAAGCAAATCGCAAGACGTGTCGGGATTTGGGGCCGAATTACAAAATGCGCTTTGCGTAAATTCGATTAGATCGGTATGGTATTGGTCATGCGAATCTATGATACATGAATGGCAACTCTCACGCCCTGACTGACATAAGAGGCTTTTTGAAGATTTGAGAACCCGTAAAGAAAAGGATACATAAGAGAAAGAGAAAAAAAGAAAAAAAAAAAGAAAAGAAAAGGCCGATTCCAAGCAAACAGAGCGATAAGGGGGAATGGTGCAATTCAGTGAAGAAGAAGTAAAGCGCAACAGGTGCATCGTCAAGTGCACTGTCTGCAGAGTCCGAGGACGAAGGGAGACCGGGGTAGCGGAAAGGGCGACAAAACACAACGGGAGTCATATAATCCCCGGAGGCGTGGAAGGTTTCGTGCAAGACCAGCAGACGATTCTTTCAGGCCGACATCTTTGTCCGCGCGAGCAATCGCAGTGCTTTGTTCGGGTCCAAGGGGGTGGTCGTGAATGGGTCCGGAATTAAGTAGAAGAGAAAAAGAAAGGAGAGTGAAATGTCATGACGAAAAATCCCCGTCGTGAGTGCATTACATGACGGTGCAGCAACCTCCCTGTTGCTGGGGTGCATAAGGATCCTCGCGCTTGTCGACCTAAGAAAATGGGAGTTAGTTTTGGATATGGGCGCACGCGATGAGACGATAGAAAACAAGGCCGGTCGCATACCTGTCCCCATACGGATGGAACCATAAAATCGCGAGTGTTGTTACAGTAACTGATGAGACTGTTGAAGGCGTTAGTTTGTTGTTTTTTTCAACAAAGAAAAGGGTTGGAAACGGACGAGAGAGCTGCCTCGGAGACCTTGACCCGTGGACGGTCCAGATCCTCCTTTAGACGACCATTGAGCTCAGTCAACCGACGATATTTCAAGTCGGCGACACTCTGCTTCTTATTCTTGACATCACCCCCGGATCGAAGTTCGTAGGGAGCCATCGTGACGGGTTGAGCTGTGAAAGAAGCGCGAAATGGAGAAAGGGGGAAGAGGGGGTTTGGATCGGCAGGTGTCTCAAGGGCGTAAGAATTAGGTTAAGGGGGGGCCGGGTAATCAGGGGCCAAGACGCCGGACAAAGAAGAAAAGGAAAAAAAAGAAGGTGAAGGATTCGGATGTCGAGTGTTATAAGAGAGAGAATGGACAAATGAATCTGGTTTAGAGGGGATTTGAGAAGATCCCCGGGGGCAGGTCCGTGGGTTTTCCCTTTTTTTTCCTTACACGTTACGTTGGTACATGTTATACTGGGGAGGGAATTTCTTCGGGGGGGAAGTACCCGGTACCTATTGTTTTATAGGGTGGGGACAATACACAACATGTACCCAGTACTTCCTATTTGAATTTTGGATTTATAACTATTATAAAGTAGCTAACTAGTTAAATTATTTCTATTATCGGAGTCGGAATGAGGTAGTTCGAATTACAATATTAGAAGATGACTCGAGATATTTCAGTCAGCCAATAATACATCATAATCACAATGTATAGTCATCAAATATGACACATCCTCATCGACACCTATAACTAGGTGTCAATGTACTTTTGAATTCATGCCTCAGGCCACAACACGTGATCGCCATCGCTTAACGCGAAGTGGGAACCATTGGCGGGATCCAATTTTTGCTCTGGCCTCAACACGCACATTGTGAATCTTCCCCTCGTTATCGGGTATTCGCGTGGCAGGCTAATCGCATTCTTCCCAGCTGCCCGTGTGTGTCGCTGGCTTCACCTAGACCTTTTTTTTTTCCAATTTTTAATTTCTTATCAGTTACCTTTGATCCTTTCCCAAGGGGCATCCACCCATCATGCCGCCCCCTCCGCATATTAAGCCTGAGAATGTCCTCAAGGTAAGCGTCGCCGTCGCTGTCGTCGCGAAAAAATAAGATAGATCGGCTACTAATGACCCTATCTATCACAGAGGGCACAGGAACTCATCGCCGTCGGTCAGGCTCCCGCCGCCTTGACTGTCCTCCACGAACATGTCACCTCCAAGCGCACCCGTAGCAGCCCCATCGCCTCCCTCGAGCCGGTGATGCTCCTGTTCGTTGAGCTGTCCGTCGACCTTCGCAAGGGCAAGGCCGCCAAGGATGGTCTTTACCAGTACAAGAACATCGCTCAGAACACCAATGTCGGCACTATCGAGGTTTGTTGATGATCGCCCCCAAAAAAAAATTTAAATTTTATATGACTTGTCACTAATCTAGGATTTATCTCATCTCTGCAGATTGTTCTCAAGAAGTTCATCGAGCTCGCCGAACAGAAGGTCACCGAGGCTCAGGCCAAGGCCGATGAGATCCAGTCGACCCTTGAGTCCGCCGCTCCTTCCTCCAACGTTGAGGATTTGGAGGCCATCGAGACCCCCGAGACCATCCTCCTTGCTACTGTCTCCGGTGAGCAGTCTCGCGATCGTACCGACCGCGCCGTTGTCACCCCTTGGCTCAAGTTCCTGTGGGAGACCTACCGCACCGTCCTCGAGATTCTGAAGAACAATGCCCGTCTCGAGATCATGTACCAGTCGACTGCCCTCCAGGCCTTCAAGTTCTGCCAGAAGTACGCCCGCAAGACTGAGTTCCGTCGCCTCTGCGAGCTTCTGCGCAACCACGTCCAGAATGCCGCCAAGTACTCTTCCCAGATGCACGCTATCAACCTGAGCGACGCCGACACCCTGCAGCGCCACCTCGACACTCGCTTCCAGCAGTTGAACGTTGCCGTTGAGTTGGAGCTGTGGCAGGAGGCTTTCCGCAGCATTGAGGATATCCACACCCTGTTGAACCTCAGCAAGCGCCCCGCCAAGAACATTATGATGGCCAACTACTACGAGAAGCTCGCCCGCATTTTCCTTGTTAGCGAGAACTACCTCTTCCACGCCGCCGCTTACAACCGCTACTACAACCTTCTCCGACTTTCTTCCGTGGCCCTGGCCAGCGGCCAGAGCTCCAAGAAGGAGAACCCGTCCGTCACCGAGGCCGAGATGACCAAGGCCGCCTCCTTCGTTCTTCTCTCCGCTCTGTCCATCCCCGTTATCAGCACTTCCCGTTCCCGCGGCGCTCTGGTCGATGTGGACGAGGCTCGCAAGAACAAGAACACCCGTCTCACTAACCTCCTCGGTATGGCTACCTCGCCTACCCGTGATGTGCTCTTCCGCGATGCGCTGAACAAGGGTCTGCTGCGCCGTGTGCGCCCCGAGATCCGCGAGCTGTACAACATCCTCGAGGTTGACTTCCACCCTCTGTCTATCTGCAAGAAGATTACCCCCATCCTGAAGCAGATTGGCGACGATCCCGAGATGGAGAAGTACGTTGTGCCTTTGCAGCAGGTCATTCTCACCCGTCTCTTCCAGCAGCTGTCCCAGGTTTATGAGTCCGTTGAGCTCAAGTTTGTCTACGAGCTTGCCCAGTTCCCCGCTCCTTTCCAGATCACCCCCGCCATGATCGAGAAGTTCATCATGAACGGTTGCAAGAAGGGTGACCTTGCTATTCGCGTTGATCACATCTCTGGCGTCCTAACTTTCGACTCCGATGTCTTCTCTTCCTCCAAGGCTACCCACGCCGGCAGCGGCGCTGGCTCCGCCGAGAGTGAGGTTGGCTCCATTCAGCGTCTGCAGCACACCCCCGCCGAAATCGCCCGTTTCCAGGTCGCCCGTCTCGCCAAGACTCTCCACGTCACCTGCATGTACGTCGATCCCTCCTACAGCCAAGCTCGTCTTCAGGCCAAGCAGACTGCCCAGGCCCGCGCCATTGCTGGTGTCACCCAGGAGCACGAGGAGACCCTCGCCCGTCGCGTTCTTATCGACAAGAAGAAGGAAGCCGCTACCGATGCTTTGCAGCGCAAGCAGCGCGAGGAGGAGACCCGCAAGCGTGTCCGTGCCCAGCAACTCCAGGATGCCGAGAAGCAGCGTCTGGCCGATGAACAGCGTGACCGTGAGCTCAAGCGCATCAAGGATGAGCAGGACCGCATCCGCCAGGAGGAGCTCAAGAAGCAGCTCGAGGAGCTCAAGACTGGTGTTAAGGGTATTGACGTCAGCGAGATCGACCTGGAGGATCTTGATGCCAACCGCCTGCGCGCCATGAAGCTGGCTCAGCTTGAGAAGGAGAAGAACGAGCTGAACGACCGTATCCGCACCACCGCTAAGCGTATCGACCACTTGGAGCGTGCCTTCCGCCGCGAGGAGCTGAAGCACATTGCCGCCGATTACGACGCCCAGAAGAAGCTCGACACTGAGCTTTACGAGAAGCACGTGGCCGAGGAACTGCGCGAGTCCAAGGAGAAGCACGCCGAGGCCGTTGCCCTCAAGCACCGTCTGGGCCGTCTCGTTCCCCAGTTCAGCAACTTCCGCAGAGAGGTTTCCGAGAAGCGCCACGAGGAGTTCGAGAAGCGTCGCAAGGCCGCCGAGCGCGAATTCGAGGCTAAGAAGAAGCAGCGTGTCAAGGAGGTCCAGGAGCGCCGCCGCCGCGAGAAGCAGGAGCGCGAGGAAGAGGAGGCTCGTCGCCAAGAGGAGCAGGAGCGTGCCGAGCGCGAGGAGCAGGAACGCACCGCTCGCGAGGAGGAGCGCCGTCGTGTTATGGCCGAGGAGAAGGCCAAGCG